GAAAAATTTTGTTGAACAATGGTAAATGGGGGAAAATAAGGGTACCACAAAAAAATTGAGGAATGATTTTTTTCAAGGGTGACAAACATATCTATATGGGGGAAAGCAAGGCTCACGACCTGGGGGATTCGTCGGGAATGATGGCGACCGCTCTTAAGAGCATGAAAAGAAATATCTTTACCAACATGGCCCTAGGGTGCCTTGCCAATACTAGGTCAGAAAGATTGGGAGTGAGGAATGGTCGTAAAGTGAAGAATTTGTCCATGTTCATCTGGGAAACTGAGCGGGAAAGTTTTTGGGAAGGGGTGCGATCTTTCTGGGGGAAAGAACGAGAAGTAAGGTGGAGAAGTTCACACAGGTAATTGCGTTGCGTTTAGGGGTGGGACCAGGTTGGTCCCCGTGAACGGGTCGGGGGTTTGAAAAATTTCCGCACCCTAGGGGAGAGGCCGGAAACATAGTCAAGGGGAGGAAGGTTGAAAATCAAGGAGTCGTCGAGGCCTCGGGTACCTGAAGGGGTGAGGAAAGCACCGGTAGGAAAGGATGGGAAATTTTGAAAGTGGCCAAAGAGACGGGTCAGAACGGGTGCGGTATCAAAAAGGGGCCCCGGGGGTACCAGGTTATGGATAGGGGGGGAGGTTTGGGGTTAATTTTTTTTTTTTTTTTAAAAAAAAAAAAAAAGAGGAAAAAAAAATTGAAAAAAAAGGGGGGAGGGGAGGGTATTTTGGAAATGAAAAGAAACTCCCTGGAAAAGAGGTAACCCGTTGTACGGAGATGGCAGGGAAGTGATATTTATTTTAGAGAAAAACCCAAATTGGGAACAACCTAATCTCCGGTACCACAAAAGAGGGCGGCGGTTCCCGCACAAAAGCTCCCCCTTCACCCACCACCCCCGAATCCGAAAGGGGGCTTCCGAATACACCCGTGCCCAAAAGCCCCCCCAAAAGCTACCCCGGGGGATCCCCGGAAAAGGGGGTGGGGACATCCCTAGCATCCCAAATTTCCACGGCAAACTACGCCACCGCCAAAAAACCCCAACAAGGGGGGTGGACCCCGGGGTCCTTTCCCCTACCTAGGAACTAGCGCGCCTGTGAAGAAATCAAGAAGGGTAAAAAAGGGAAGGGCAAAAGGGGAAAGGGGGAGGAGGAGGGGAGGAATGGGGAAAAAGGGGGGGGGGGGGGGGGAGGATGGGGAGGATGGGATAGGGGGGGGAAATGGGGGGAATTGGGGTTTCTCTGAGGAAAAAGCCGACAGGGGCTAATTCCCAGACCAAGAGCCTTTCCCAAAAAAGGCCCCCCTTGAAGGGGGATTTTTTTTTACACCGGGTGAAATCCCAAACATGGAAATAGATGGGTTACCTGGTTTAGCTTAGGGTGCTTTGTGGGTTTTAATTATTTTTAGATAAAAAAAATTTTTAAATTTTTAAAAAGTCTTTGTCCCACTTTTTTTTTTTTAAAATATAATTAGTGATTAAAAGTTTGGGGTAGAAACTGGGGTTTGATTATAAAATTTTAAAAAGAGTGCTAAAAAAAAAGGGGAATGATTGCGAGGGCGGGGGATGTAGGGGTACGGGGTACAAGATTTAGGGCTGGAGTGAGGGAAAGGGGGTAAAAGAGATTGAGTAAAAAGGGGCTTTGAGGGGACAGTTTCATCAGAGTTTGAGCAGCAATCAGTTTCAAAAAGTCAGCGAGAGTCTGGGTTAAAGGAGGGCCCCATCGCAAAAGGGAAGGTAAGGAAGAAGCGGGACGGAGAAATTCTGCATGCCCAACAGTGGGCATCCAAAGAATAAGCAAAACGGGAACCAACAATTCTCAGAGTGGAACAGGAACCTCTCCATGAGATACCTCAAGTAAGCTAGTGTGGCAAAGCAAAGAGAGAAAAGTATCCCCCAACTCGACACGGGTAAGAAGACACCCAGAAACCCATATTTCGTTTAAAGGGGATGTATTTGTTTAGAGCAATCAGACCAACACTGTTGCCAATGGGTGCGAAGGTGGGTACAATTACAGAAAAATATCTGGAAGGGACATTCTTAAAACGGGGGTTATGTATGCTGACCATGCAGCAGTGTCTCCCTTTCATTGCCCGTAATAACATCTAAAGAAAACGTGAACCCCAAAGTTGAATACAAGAACCAGGGATGAGTGTATCAAATTTTCACACCCTGAAAAGCCAAAGGGGAGCCTGAAACAACAACAAATGGTGGCACGGGCAAGATGCAATACATATAAGGGGTACAAAAATGGGATACAATTCAGCTGTAAAAAGCTAGCTGGGGGAAAAAATGACCTGCCGGTGCTGTCCGGAAACACCACGCGAATCTGTGCCGTCAGAAGACTTGGGAAACCCCAGTGTATACTGCAATGGCATAAAAAGAGATCGGAAATGGGTTTAAAAAAGAGCGAGAATCCCCCCGTAGGCATTTGGGTTTTTGTGCATGGCAGTTTGGGAAAGAACGACAACTGTCGGAACTTCCCCAAGGGGGTAGTGAAAAGGAGCAAAAGAGATAGAAAAAAGAACTGAAGACTAGGCAAATGTAGGGAAAAGGGGGGGGAGTAAACAGGGGGAAAAACAAATTAAGACATCCCCACAATATCAGTGACTATCCTATATAGGAAGGATTGCGGAGGTCATGAGATGAACTAATAGCAAAGGAATGAGCATCACGGGGCTCGGGCAAGGATGGAATATTTGCCTCGCAAGATCAAACCGGTGAAGGGAAAAGCACAGAGGATAAAAAATCCCCGTGATGGGTGGATTAAGCTAAAGAGTTGCAGGAGAGGCTGCCGAATATATTGGTTGACATAATCGAGTTTTTTTATAAAATTAGGGGGTGAATTTGCAAAGGAGAGTTCTACATCAGCCCCCCCCCCCCCCCCCCCATGAAAGAGGAGGGTTTTAAAGGGGGGTTTACCCAGCATGAAAAGTTTCCTTCAGAGAGGAATGTGGGCTTCCAGGATAACCTAGGTCAAACAGAAGGGGGCCCAGAAACCTGACCATCAATTCTGGGGGGTTTTCAACCTTAAGGGAAAAACGGATGATAGAGATGAAGAACTTGTGAAAGTAATTTGGAGAGTTTTTTATAGAAAAAAAAACCCCCGAGTGGTGGCCCCTTGGAAACACTGATGCCGCATGCGGGGGAGAAACTCAGTGAGGTGACCCCTCAAAGGAAGCTCCTTAGCTGGGGAGGGGGTCTTTATCTAGGGAATTTAAACTTGCTCCAGTTTCCCCCAATTTAAACCTGAATGCCTTCCCCCCCCTAGGCCTTAAAATCCTACAGTTTTGCTTCCCCCCGATTATAATAAAAATAAAAATGCAAAGGTGACCCCAGGACCTGCACAAGCTATAGCAAAGTCATCAACATAAAGCAACGACCAAGTATTGGATGGAAGATTATTATTATTATAATCAAAAAGAAGCGCTAAGCCACAAGGGCTATTGGATGGAAGAACAGAGGCCAGATCATTTATAGCAAGGAGAAAGTGCTGTGCTCAGAACACACCCCTGGGGGACACCTCATTAACCCAAACACACAAATGTCTTTCAGTTAAGAAGTTCTCAAGGAAAAATGATAGATTGCCTTGGAAGCATAACAAGTGGGCCTGGGCCAAGATGATATACCTCCTAGTAGTGTCATATGCCTTCAAGGTCAAAAACAGATGGCAATATTATAATAAAAAAAGAAGTGCTAAACCTACAAGGGTCATACAGTGCAGCAGGGCAGGGAAGGATACAGGGGTATTGGGTAGCAAGAGAGGGATTATTATTAGGGCATGGAGTGCAATGGGGGCAGTGGATAGTGCAGGGATAGAGGGTAGCAAGAGATTGAGGTAGAAAGGACTGTGAGGAGTGCTAGTTATTATCACCAGAGTTTGTGCAGTAAATCAGTTGCTGTCATAAAGTCAATGAGAGTCTGGGTTAAAGGAGGGTCCATCAGCAAGAAGGGAAGGTAAAGTAAGGGTAGTAGAGCGGTGACGACGATGGAGGTAAATTCTGTGTGCTCGCTGATACAGTGGGCAGTCCAACAGAATATGCCTAACAGAAGCTGGAACCTGACATGGTGGATGAATAACTGCTGATTTCATTTATTTTTGCTAGTTAGGTGTACTAGTACATCAAGACATCACCAGAGTAGTTAACCATGATACAGTGTGGACCCTGCTGGCTTTAGATTTTTTTTCAAATGTATAAATAGATTGAAGACCCAAATAGTTATGCTGAGGTCAAAAATATTGGCAGGTGGCAGAGTTGAAGGTAGGAAAAATTGTGCATACTAGTACGTTGGACATTTTAAAGGTTAAAATCACAGTTCTATTTGTTGATAAAGAATATGCACTTAGGGTATTAAAAAAAAAAAAGTCATTTTAGCATAAGATGGCCTCGTTTTTCCTTGGATTTCATCGGTGCCTGAAGCCTACTTTGCCCATGCTAACATTCTCACTGAATCTATTTTAATCTTCAATGAAGCCTATGTACAAAAGGAGATAATAATCAAAACCAAAATGCTAAGCCCACTAGGGTCACACAGCACTGCAGGGTAGAGGGGTGTTGCAGGATTATACAGCAGCAAGGGTGGAGAGGATAACAGAGGTAGAGATATAAAGGGCTGAGGAGTAATAAATCAGTTGCTGTCAAAAAGTCAAAGAGGGAGTCTGAGTCAAAGGTGGTGCCATCAGCAAGAGGGGAGAGATAGATGTTGAGATAGAGAGATATATATAGATAGATAGATAGATCAAAGCATACTTGCATTAGTTTTCTGTCAGGTCATTCCGTTGTCATGATGACAAGCGTTGTATTGAGCATTTGTCCGTGTCTGGTCGTCTATCAATTAAGTGGAAACTTACAACACTACTAATTTTTCACTAAACTGGACACCCCTTCTCCCTATTAATCCATTTTATATGACATTTACTGTACTTTTCAACAAATCACTAGTAATTTTCAGGAGTTTGCAAGCACTAGTCTCCTGGTGAGGGGTTCTTAATCCAAGGAACTGGACTTACTTCTTCCTTTAGATGGAACCTGAATACCACCCATTCCCAACATGCTTTATGGCCCCTATGACTTTACTGCTTCCCCAATCAAAATAGTTTTAGTCTGCCTGAAATGCCTTGCATAAGAGGCTTTCCTTAGAAAAGCATGTAATCCCAGAGCTGAATCTACACTATTTTTTTAAAGAAAACCGATTAGATTTGGAGTAATTACACATTAATGAATGAAAAACTCCTTGCTACTGGTTACATATTTTCCAAGTATCCAAATAATATTTACATTTCCTCACAAATTTGACTGCACATTACAGCTTCCAATTTCACTGACCTGTATAGTAATTTACAACTGGGATTGTTAATTGTAGTTGCTTTTGACAGAAAAAGGGAATTTTTTTTTTTACACTGCCAATCTTTATTTTTTCAGCTCACATGGACATTTTAAAAAGTAGGGTACATGAAAGAAATTAATAACTTTAAAGAGGGAACTAGTTAATGTAGGCAGAAATGCAGATTGCAATCTTCTTTATATGCTTTGTTGTTTTACAGAATTCTTCTTTCAACAAACCGGCCGTATCCCACTGAAGCAGGGTGGCCCAAAATGAAAAACAAAAGTTTCTGTTTTTAACTTTAGTAATGTATACAGAAGGGGTTACTAGCCCCTTGCTCCCGGCATTTTAGTCTCCTCTTACAACATGAATGGCTTACGGAGGAAGAATTCTGTTCCTATTACAATATGTCAGATATACAGCAATAGTAGTTAAAACTGTTGGTAGGACTAATGAATTAACAAATTCAATGTCAGTTATGCAATACAGAGGTCTCTTGAGTTACGATTTACCCTCGAAGGAATTTAGTTTCGAGTTGCAATGAAAAAATTAGATACGATAAGCCTAAATAGGTAGGACTGTTGTGGGTGGCATTCTGGGGAACGAGATAAACCTAAGTTGATTGAAATGCTCTGCATAACCAGATGTTTTCTATATACAGTAGTATGCCAGTGATGTCAACTAGGTCTGTAATAGATGTATCATGTACTTGTAAAATTATTACTACTACTACATTATGGTCAGCATAGGCAGGCCTCAGCCAATGAGCGATGTGGAAGCTTGCCTCCTGGGCAGCATTCAAGCCAACAAGTGTCAGTACTTGTGTGGGTGGTCTTTACTTTATCAGCAATGCAATAGCTTGCATCTTGTACATCTGAGCCAATAGTCTGGGTCTGTGAGGGTAGCTTAGCAGTCAATCAGCAATGGGTTGAATGCATGTAAGGTAGCAACTCGGCCAATAGTCTGTACTGTACTATAATGTCTACTCTTCAGTTTAAAGCTACCACATGTTCCCCCCCCCTTACACCAATTCTGTATTTTTTACCCTTTACAAATGCATTAATTACACCAACTTTTGCATTACCAAGTCATCATGTCCCCTAGTGTGTGCAGTAAACGAACAATTTCTCTGAAGATCAACCAAGAAATTGTGCCTTGGTGTGCTAGCATGGCTTTCCACAAAGACCATCTACTATTATCAAGCAAAAAGAAATAAAAAATATTAAAGTGGCTGACAAATCAAAGCTAGTGAAAAATGGCAGAGAAATTATCATAGAAATGGAAAGACTATTGCAATTGTGGATAAGAGAAACAGATGCAAGGAGATGGTGCCTTTAAGTTTAAGTATCGGACAGTGTGCATGGTACAGTAAGTTACACTTCTGGGAACAAATAACCATAAAACTATGTATTTTGATGTTTGAGTTATGGCAGTTTTGAGGTACACTGTCTTCTAGAACAGATTAGTATCTTAACTCAGGGGACCACTGTACTGTATAACGTATTTTAAACAAATTTAGCCAACAAGTACCATAAAGTTTAAACTGCTTCATTTTAAACAATTATCACAGTACTGAACTTCATTATCACTAATTCATCAACCCTTTAGTTGCTTGTACAATTCCTCACAATAAGAGTCATATTCTGCCTGGTAAAAATTACCAGCCACCAGCTCTAAGCCATATTTTGCAGCAAACTTGCGAATACTGAAACAGCCACGATTTGCACCTGAAAATGGAAAATTTGCATGTTAAAGTTATTTTTATAAAAACCCAATCACAAAACAATTTTTTATATACTGCAAATGTATCACAGTCAAGCACAAATATGTGATGTGCACCAGGAATAGTATTAAAATTTACAATGCCCTTACTTCATTTTCCCTCCTTGCTGACGGACCCACCTTCGACACAGGCTCCCTCTTCAAATTTTTGACAGCAATTGATTTATACACAAACTTTGATAATCCTTCCTTGAGCACTTCTCACAGCCCCTTATTTATCTTTAGATCCTGCATCAATTCCTACCCTGCAGTGCTGTATGACCCTTGTAGGTTTAGCACTTTTTTTTTTATTAATTAATGTATTAATTAAAATTTATGAATCTAGGGTGTTGGGGAGAGGGGTGGGATTAAATTATGGGGAATCAAGTACAAAACTAAAAGTTACATTTTGCTGATGATACTGTGCTTATGGGAGATTCTAAGGAAAAGTTGCAAAGGTTAGAAGACGAGCTTCTTGGGAGGGTGTGTAAAGGTAGAAAATTGAAAGTGAACATAGAAAAAGAGTAAGGTCATGAGGGTATCAAACTATTTAAATAGAGAAAAATTGGATATCACATAGGAGAGAGGGAGTATGGAAGAAGTGAATGTTTTCAGATACTTGGGAGTTGACGTGTCAGCGGATGGGTTTATGAAGGATGAGGTTAACCAAACCATAGAATTTAGGAAGGAACAAAGGTGAGTGGTGTGTTGAGGTATATGTGGAGACAAAAAACGTTATCTATGGGAGCAAAGAAGGGAATGTATGAAAGTATATTGGTACCAACACTCTTATATGGGTGTGAAGCTTGGGTTGTAAATACTGCAGCGAGGCGGCGGTTGGAGGCAGTGGAGATGTCCTGTCTAAGGGCAATGTGCGGTGTAAATATTATGCAGAGAATTTGGAGTGTAGAAATTAGGTGTGGAGTTAATAAAAGTATTAGTCAGGGCTGAAGATGGGTTGTTGAGGTGGTTTGGTCATTTAGAGAGAATGGATCAAAGTAGAATGACGGAGAGCATATAAATATGTACGGGAAGGAAAGCAGGGTAGGGGTCATTCTCAAAAAGGATGGAGGGAGAGGGTAAAGGAGGGGCGAGGGGCTTGGACTTCCAGCAAGCATGCGTGAGCGTGTTAGATAGGAGTTAATGGAGACGAATGGTTTTTGGGACTTGACGAGCTGTTAAGTGTGAGCAGGGTAACATTTAGTGAAGGGATTCAGGGAAACTGGTTATTTATATATAGCCAGACTTGAGTACTGGAAATGGGAAGTACAATGCCTGCACTTTAACCCCTTCAGGGTCCAACGCCAAAATCTGAAGTGGTGCTCCAGTGTCCAAGAAATTTTGAAAAAAAAAAAAAAAAAAAAAAAAAAAAAAAAAAAAATTCTTACAGAATTAAAGAGTATATTTTTGTGAAGGTAATAAGACAAAAAAAAACATTTCTGATCAGTACCTACCGAGATACAGTGGTGGGAAGTTGACCCAAAATGACCGGGTGGCGGCAACATCATGACTTCCGCAAAATCCCATTTTTTTATTTTACGTTTTTTATACTTTTTTCTTTTCTTTTCTAATTTTTTTCTTTTTCTAATAACATTTGTGGCCTGTGAGACCAATATAATGTATATTGTGTAAGTGTACACTCATTGTATTCAACACAATAACTGCACTAATATGTTTTATCATTATATTGCTTACAAAACTTGTTTACAAGTTTATTGTAAACAAAATGATGAAAATATTATTGCGGTTGTGTTGAATACAACGGTACCATATAGTACCATATGGTACAATGGTGCCATAGGGTGCAATGGTACCATATGGTACAATGACACCATATGATACAATACCATATGGTACAATGGCACATGGTACAATGGTACCATATGATACAATTGTACCATATGGTACAATGGCACATGATACAATGGTACCATATGATACAATGATATATGGTACAATGGCACCATTTGGTACAATGGTACCATATGGTGCAATGGTACCTTATGGTACCATATGGTGTAATGGTACCATATGGTACCATGTGATGCAATGGTACCATATGGTACATTGTACCATACAGTACAATGATACCATATGGCGCATTGTACTATATGGTACTGTTGTATTCAACACAATAAACACACTAATATTTTCATTATTTTGTTTACAATAATTGTTTACAATAAAAATATACAAAAATGTTGCATATTAGTAATGTTCCATTATATATTTACAAGTGTACAGGAACTTGATGTGTTCCTTGAGGTGGATGACAAAGCGCTTTGTCTCGGAAACTGGGAAACTGCGGAGTAAGTAGCTAGCTTGCATCGCCACTCACTCAGTCTTGGCTGGTGTCTCATGCCACCAACACCTATTGACTATATGGTACACGGTATCATATGTTACAGGGTACCATATGGTACATTGTACTATATGGTATAGGGTACCATGCAGTACAGGATAACATATGATGTAGGGTAGGTACCATATGGCACAGGGTACCATATGGCACAGGGTACCATATGGCACAGGGTACCATACAGTACAGGACACCATATGGTACAGATACAGGGATAACTATGGAAATAAGTCACCCTGACTTTTTTGGGTTATCCTAGGATTTTATGTGTATGCTGCTATGTATGATAATCTATGTAACTGTATTTCTGTACACCTGAATAAACTTACTCAAGTGCATGTGGCATCATAAGTAAGTTTATTTAGTTATACACAAATAAAATTACATAGAATATCATACTTAGCAGCATATGTTTGGAGAACCTAGGATAACCCAAAAAAGTCAGACAGACTTATTTCCATTAGGGTCCCTGTACCCTGTACCATATGGTATAATGTACCATATGGTACAATGTACTATATGGTACAATGGTATCATATGGTACCATTGTACCATATACCATTGTATGACATGGCACCATTATACCATATGGTACCATTGTACCATATGGCACAATGGTACCATATGGTTCAAAACCATAGAATTCGTCTTCATCTCCACTTCCATCAGTCTTAGAACTAAGTTGTGAAGAGGAGTCAGAATTCACCCAGAGAGTGAGTGGGGAGTGAGAGCTTCCTTGCTGCCAGGCACAATGAACAAAGCTACTTTGGCGGTGTTCCCACAATGCCATGCGGGCGTCCAGATTTTTTCTATGGTGTGCACACTGACCACCCAGACCCATTCTCTCAGATGTAGGCCTACCAGCCTTCTTGCGCTAAATTTGACACCGCTAGGATTTTGGCACAGATCTACGGTTTGGACCCTGAACGTAAAACCGTAGATCTACGGGACGGACCCTGAAAGGGTTAAAGGAGGGGTTTGGGATACTGGCAGTTTGGAGGGATTTGTTATATACAGTGGACCCCGGGATTACGAAATTAATCCGTTCCAGAGAGTAATTTATCCCGAATCTGACTTATTCCGAATTAATTTTCCCCATAAGAAATAATGGAAATCCAATTAATCCATTTCAGACACCCAAAAGTATTAAAAAAATGTTTTCTACATGAAATATACATTTACCTACACAGAAAACAATGATACATGAAGAATAAAACAATAATATCACACTTGCCTTTATTGAAGACATGGTGATGTATGGAAGACGGGAGAGGATGGAGGAGTTTACAACCGTTTGGAAGGGAAATCCCACTACTTAAAGACTTCAGGTACCAAGTCCTTATCCTTGGTTACTTTCCTCCTTTGTTTTTTAATGCCACTAGGACCAGCCTGAGTGTCACTGGACCCCTGTCACTCAAAAGTTTTCCAGAGAGCTCTTTCTGGCATATGTTAGGAATTGTGTTGGGAGACAGGACAAGATAGTCCTTCAATATGACACTAATATCAGCTCTACAGCTTATTTATTTAGCAGAATTCATCTAACATGATATAATAAACAATATTAATAACAGAAACGTGACATATACTCTAGAATGAATAAAAGACGTCATTAGGTATGTCACGAGTTTTTGTGTTGTTGCTGGGTGTATAAGGGCCACTGAGACATAAGCTGTACATAGTGATGGTGGAGGTGACAGCAGCGGTAGACTAGAGACGGCAGTGTTCTCAGTTGCCCTATATAACTCCAACAACATTGGAGAAGTTAGGTTTGTGCTGTCCTTTTTCTATCGATTAATCGCTTAACTTACTTGCTACAATTAATGCTACACTTTATCGCTGGCTGGTGCTATAGCCTTTATAGACTCCTGCTGCTTTAGTATCATACATATTGCAGAATCACTGATAAAGGTACATTCTCCCCTCTCTCTCAGCCCTTTACCAAAGGGCTGGCTGGCACTAGAAGCTTTCTTTGGGCCCATGGTGGCTTATTTAGCAGTTACAAGCACTAAAAAGAATGGAATAATACAAAATGTACCGTATGAACACGTGGGATTGTCCTTACTGGGCAGCTCAGGCCCTGACATGAATGACTTATTCTGAGTTCAGCGACTTTCACAGAGCCAATATTTTGACGCAAAAATGTTACTTATTGCGATTATTACTTATTCCGGGGGTCCACTGTATCTTTATATATGCTTCTAAACTGTTGTATCTGGGCACCTCTGCAAAGACAGTGATTATGTATGAGTGAGGTGAAAGTGTTGAATGATGAAAGTATTTTCTTTTTGGGGATTTTTTCTTTTTGGGCCACCCTGCCCCGGTGGGAGATGGCCGACTTGTTGGAGGAAAAAAAAAAATCTATTCCCAGACATTTTGCGGTACTGTTATTTTTACTAGTGTCAGTACAGTACACTGTAGAAAATCCTTAAATAATGGGAGAGAAATTTAAAAAACTATCATTTGAGATAAGTTGAGTGCCAGTACAGTATTTCATTAAATACCATTACAAGTATAAATTATATTTCCTCCAAAGATTTAGCTCAAGAACAAAAACATTGGGCCCAAACACATAGTAACAAATTACCTTACACAACATGCTACATTAAACTAGAATAAGGGTCTATGCTATCAGAGGAAGGTATCCTCATATTGCATAACCCCCAGTCTCTTGCATGTCAATACTACACACAGTGTAGAGGGCAGCACAAGTTTCTAATGCAATTACATATTTGTGTGGAAGATTTGAAGCAAAACAGGTTGGGTATTCACAAGTTATCACAGACTAATATCCCAATTTCTTCAATAAAAATGACAACTAATTCAAACCTTCTAAGAAACATTTTCTATTGAGTAATACTCTCTTCTCTCAGAAACCAATATCCCAAAATATAGCAGCACATGAAGTCTGAACTGGCAAACTGGAACCAACAGTCCAAAATCAATCCAAAATTTTCTCTAAAATTTATCAGCATTTATGGTTTCAGTATGCAGTCAAGTACCAGTAATTAAACTTTTAATAAAACTTTAGGTACACAACATACTGTCAAGTTTTTTTTTTTAATGGTCTAAAAGAGAGATGTTAAGTGAACATATGTACAGTCAACATCTGAGAAAACAGACAGAGGGAAGTTGTCTCTGCTTTGGCAAACAATTCATTATATTTTAAACTTTCGATTAAGTGGATGTAATTTGCTTAAACAATGTAGTTTCATCTACTGCAAGGTTAAGCTTTAAACATAATTTTTTGGGTCAAATACTTCATTTAGGGATCATGTATTTTTCACCTGGAATCACAATTTCTTTATAATGTACTTAGTTTAAAAAAAAAAAAAAAAAAAAAAAATCCAACAAAACAATCCATGAAATTAGGCTGACTACTGCAAATTTTGTTTATCCTCAAAACTTACTACACATTGTGCAACCTTAAGATAAAAGACTGCCACACATTATACATAAAATGAAAGCATGAAATACACATTTACAGAAAACTCCAATCCTATCTGCATATGCCCAGACTGACTGAATATTGCAAATGAAATTCTCACCTGAGGTGTTTGTTAGTCTTGGTTCATCACAGGTCAACTTGCTCTTTTGCTTATAAACCAAGTATACATACCGATGAAGTCCTAAAAAGAGAGAGAAAAAAAAAAGCATCAATAAAATTTTACACAAATCAAACTTTTATTAATTAATATTGCATAAATTACCACTAATTCCATTATTTTCTCATTAATCCAAAGCACCTTTGTTTCTAAAACTAAGACAATACAGATCATCCCTGTTTAACTTTTTATTTTAATCCACTACAACTTAGCATACCAACTGTAAAATATCCAACATGAGATGTTGGCCATGTCAAATCTCAGTACACTAGAGACAGGAGAAAATCTTTTCTACAGAGTCATAAACCTAAGTAGAAGTCTGCCCACCTAAGTCATCAAAGAAATAGAAGTGCTCAAAACTCCACGCATAACCAAAAACTGGGAAACTTTTCCTAAGCCGCAGGCTTCCTGTCTCCCACAGGGCTTCTAAGAGTGGTTATCACAGACATTAGAATGCCACAGTAATAAACATTTTTCATAATGCACTTTTAAAAAATGATTTTTGCACTGCCACAGAAGCATTTACCTTTAAGGGAATTTTCATGGATTCCTCTAACAGAATTCAGTATTATTATTCTTTCAGAATTCAGTATTCTATCTTTCAACACACCAGCCGTATCCCACCGAGGCAGGGTGGCCCAAAAGGAAAAACGAAAGTTTCTCCTTTTACATTTAGTAATATATACAGGAGAAGGGGTTACTAGCCCCTTGCTCCCGGCATTTTAGTTGCCTCTTACAACACGCATGGCTTACGGAGGAAGAATTCTGTTCCACATCCCCATGGAGATAAGAGGAAATAAACAAGAACAAGAACTAGAAAGAAAATAGCAGAAAACCCAGAGGGGTGTGTGCATATATATGCTCGTACATGTGTGTCTAGTGTGACCTAAGTGTAAGTAGAAGTAGCAAGACGGTATACCTGTAATCTTGCATATTTATGAGACAGACAAAAGACACCAGCAATCCTACCATCACGTAAAACAATTACAGGCTTTCGTTTCACACTCACTTGGCAGGACGGTAGTACCCCCCTGGATGGTTGCTGTCTACCAACCTACTACCTAAAGAATTCAGTATTATTAAACTAAAATATTATGTTAGACTATCCTGATCATGCATAAAGAATGACCTTTTCTAGTATAGTGCGAGTGGTGCAGTTTCAGCAAACAACCTTACCCCTACCTAGTTTTACACGAATTTA